ACCAGGCAGCGTGTGTTCCAGTTCTGCACTCCTGAGGCCCCTGCCCAAGGTCATGCAAGGCCAAGCCTGGGCCACCCTGCTGTGCTGCTCGCCTGGGAGTCTCCATTTCCACACACACCAAACAGCACTGCAGCTGAAAAATCCACTTATTAACTTTTTTTTAATCCTCACCCAAGAGTATGTTTTTACTGATTTTTAGAGAGAGAGAAATGGAGAGGGGGAGAGAGAAAGAGAGAAAAACATCCATCAGTTGCCTCTAGTATGAGCCCTAACCAGGGATCGAACTGCAACCTAGATATGTGCCCTGAGGGGAACTGATCTGCAAAGCGAACCGCAAACCTTCAGTGTCCGGGATGACACACCAACCAACTGAGCCTCCTGGAGAGGACCACGTATTAACTATTAACTCCCCCAAAATTTAACTACTAATACGAGCCTATTGTTGACTGGAAGCTTTACCGACAACATGGTTAATTAAAACCTATTCTGTATACTCTATGTATTATATACTATATTCTTACAATAAAGTAAACTAGAGAGAAGAAAATGTTACGAAAATCATAAGGAATATTGGCAACAGCATTGAGCTCACAGGGCTCTGTAAGGTGGAGAGGGAACATCCTGCAGCTGAGAGAATGAGGCAGATCTATTTGTGGACTTGGAATGACTTAAGATATCTTAAGTGAAAAAGGGAAGGTGCAGACAGAGCACAGTATCACGATAGTGGAGTTAGAAACAAAGCAAAAGGAATTTATGCACACACCTCATAAGCACAAACACCTCTGAAAAGGATGGTCTTGATACAGGGCCCTGGTTGCCTCTGGGGAGAGCACTCACCCTTCCTCCTGCACACCCCATGGAGCACACCGAGGCCCAAGCACACCCCATGGAGCACACCGAGGCCCGTGCACACCCCATGGAGCACACCGAGGCCCGTGCACACCCCAATGGAGCACACCGAGGCCCGTGCACACCCCAATGGAGCACACCGAGGCCCGTGCACACCCCAATGGAGCACACCGAGGCCCGTGCACACCCCAATGGAGCACACCGAGGCCCGTGCACACCCCAATGGAGCACACCGAGGCCCGTGCACACCCCAATGGAGCACACCGAGGCCCGTGCACACCCCAATGGAGCACACCGAGGCCCGTGCACACCCCAATGGAGCACACCGAGGCCCGTGCACACCCGATGGAGCACACCGAGGCCCGTGCACACCCCAATGGAGCACACCGAGGCCCGTGCACACCCCAATGGAGCACACCGAGGCCCGTGCACACCCCAATGGAGCACACCGAGGCCCGTGCACACCCCAATGGAGCACACCGAGGCCCGTGCACACCCCAATGGAGCACACCGAGGCCCGTGCACACCCCAATGGAGCACACCGAGGCCCGTGCACACCCCAATGGAGCACACCGAGGCCCGTGCACACCCCAATGGAGCACACCGAGGCCCGTGCACACCCCAATGGAGCACACCGAGGCCCGTGCACACCCCAATGGAGCACACCGAGGCCCGTGCACACCC